AACATTAACTGTTTTTCTCTCCACAGATGCTACCAGACCTATTGAGTTTCTCCAGTATTTTCTGTTTTTATTACAGAAAATACATGTCTTCAGGCACATTACAATTCAAAGATGCGTTTCATATGAGCAACTTGTGAAGAAACCTCAAGACAGGTTGTGAGTGTCAAGTTGTCACATTTTAGAAATGTAAGAATATAAAAAGTAACCATGGAACATTGAAAACTAACCCTGACACAAATTTAGTATAGTCATCTCAAATGATACACAATTTTACATCATGAAAGTATACATCACAGAACAGGGTGTGAACAAAGTATGTGAACAAGAGCAAAACATTGGTGACCAAACAGAATGCAAGGTGGTGGTGAGGAAGGGGGTTAGAAGGATAGGCTAGAAGATCCAGGCTTGAAGGAGACTTTTGAGAGAGGAATGAAGTCATAAAAGCTGACAGCTGCTTATACAATGCCCCATAGCATGGACTGAAAAAAAGTTGGGCTCTGAAGCTGAAAGCAGAATGCAGAAAAACAAGACTCAAAAGGCATTCAGACTTGTTGTAATATCACAAGCAGCCTTTCACAACTGAGGCTGGACACCATAGAAGTTCAAGCTAAAAAACATTTATGCATTTAGTATCAAAAATTATTCACATCACGCTACATCCACCTCCCTCCCACCTAAAGTCATTGATGCGATCCCTAGATCCTGCAGAGATTTGGCTAATCAGCCTGATTATGTTCTTAATGCCTCTAGAGAAGGTCGATTGTATTGTCTTGTGGAATGAGTGTCTTCCTGCAGATGGACATATGAACAAGTTAATCAGTTAGTCAGGCTGTCATCCTGTCGTCTGGGTAACTGGTCCAGTCCAGTGGTGTTTGTTAAGTAATAAATTGTTGTCCAAAGCATTAGTGAGCTCCCCAGTTCTTGAATGTTTCACTGAATTTGTATGTTGTGCTGATCTACAAGATCTGGACAATATCCAAGCCTTGGCTGACAAGTGACAAGGCCTGCTTATGGACACCAGCACACATGTTTCTCCTGATAGAATCACCTGGTCAGTGGGGCAAAGAAAGTGGATGAATTGATTGGCTCAAAACCTAGCCTTTCCAATTTTTACGAAAAATACAAACAGACTTTCCTGGCTGGGATGATGGTAAGACCTGTGCTTTTTGGAAGTGATTGTAGTGCAATTTGTTCAAGTACTATTTCAGAATGCAACTGCTAGTAACATGCAATGACCAGTATGTAATAAGCCTGGCATCTGTAAAAAGTCAACATAAGCTTTCTGGAATGCACAAATTTCTTCAGTTTCTAGCCAGCTGCGAGGTGATATAGGAAGCAAAGGATTCTGCACAATATATCTGAAACCGTGTGGACTACCCCAGTGAAGTGTGGGTCAACACATCTGCAGCATGGACATGCTCTGTAGTAACATCAAATACCACATGTCATGAGTGAAACCTACACATTCGAGGAAGTATTTTCATCAATTCTTTGGTGTTGAGCATGTCCAATGACTTATAGTCTGTCTGAATAGTAAACTAGAGTTCCAGGATGTCAAAGTCCTGAGGCATAGCATACCAGTCTTTGAGAACCCTTTTACTCAATTTGGAATAATATAGCTCCTGGCCTAATGAAAGTATATAAGTCACAACAATGGTGGATCATTCTGGGTCATAGTGAGCCAGTGCTTCTATTGAAATAAGCATATCCTTGATTTTATAAATGTTCATTCCAGTACCTGGCCTGGCTCTGCTTAAGCAGTTGGCATAGATGCTCTTGATGTGCACTAAACTGGACAGGAACTTCCTCAATTGGAGCTCTGGAGCATTAAGAGGTAGAGGAAAATCAGTCATGGCTCTTTGTTTTCTGGGAGTCATCTGGATACCGTGCACTTTTATGGCTAATTGAAAGGCCGGTGGTCTGAAAGTACTGCAATACTGACTCTGCCATCTTGATCCAAAAAGTGTTACATCCCTGAATGAGATTATCATCCATGTGACAGATTACCCCTGTGCCCTTCCAGAATGCTGGCCAAAAGTTGCAAAAAACCTCAGGCACTGAAGCAATTCCAACTGGTAGCTGTTTGAGGCAATATTACCCAAAGTATGAAAAATATTGTTAGCAATTTGAATTGTTCATCTAACAGTTGCTGCTAGAAAGTGAAGGTCCAAAGAAGTGTCAACTTCATTTCTCCACGTGCAAATGCTTCCTGATCTATTGAGTTTCTCCAATACTTGGTTTTTATTTACAAATTCTAAACTTGAAAACCACCTGCTGTCCAGGTTAACAATGAGCATTCTTATTTTCAAAAACAAACAGCTTCTGCCATTTCCCTTCCATTATACTGTAGCATAGCAGTCAAGATAAGGCGACAGGCAAGTGGTATTATCGCTGGACTGTTAGTCTAGAGGACCCCAGTAATGTTATGGAGAGCTGGGTTCCAAACCCATCATGGCAGATGGTAAAATTTGAATTCAATAAATATTAGAATTAGCAGTCTATTGGTGACCAAAAAACTGTTGTTTCATTTCCTTTAGGGAGGGAAACTGTATCCTTGCCTTGTCTAGCCTACATGTGACTCCAGACCCATAGCAATGTGGTTGATTCTTAACTGCCCTCTGTTAAATGCTCCCAGACTGTAAAATTATATAATTTAAGAATAGAGAAAATCAGGCTTCAACCACTATTGTATTAGGAAGATTTGATACTCGTACTCCCACATCACTTGGGAAATTTCTTCTGTGGCCTTTGAATATAATATCAGCACACCGAAAATCTTCCTTGGGCTTTGTCAATACCCAAAAAAGGCACTTTAAGATCACCCATATCCTCTAGCTCGTGGACACAGTTGGACCTAATGGATTTCCCTTTACATTTTTGATTTGGAGTTCCAAGTTTTCTGTTGTGGTATGATGCTTTAAAAGATCACCTCTTCTTGCAGAAGTGGCACACTACTAATAACTGAGCAAGCCTCGACTTTTCCCAACAGAACTGGACAAGGAGTAAAAGCATTGACTGCCCCTCTGTCTTCCCATTCTGCTATGTAGGCATTCTGGGCATCCTCCCATCTCCATGCTAAGCTGTTGCCCAATTAACTCTACCAGCAAAAGGATAAACTTTTTCTACTGCACCTTGGATGTCCACACCAAATTTCTCCCAGTCTACAATGGTGCCCCTTTGAAACGTGAAGTATGAATCAAAGGCTGTAATTACCTCCTCACATTTAGCAATTTCTTCATCAACCCATTGCCACACTAAAACATGATTGATTGATGTTGCTGATTATATACAGAGCACACTGATTTAAATAAAAACCGTAAGAATTGTGGATGCAGTAAATCAGGAACAAAAACAGAAGTTGCTGTAAAGGCTCAGCAGGTCTGGCAGCATCTGTGAAGAAAAATCAGAGTTAACGTTTTGGGGCCGGTGACCCTTCCTCAGAACTGATGGCAGCTGGGAAAATGTCAGTTTATATGCAGAAGATAGGGTGGGGGTAAACAATACATGGGGATACAGCCTAAAGAGAGAGAACAGTTGGACAAACAAAGGAACTGATAACAATATGGCAAGGAGGATGAATAGCTGTTAATGGAGACTGTTAGTGGTTAACAATAGGTTGTGTGTAATAGCAGGTTATGTAATAACTAGGCCTGTTGTGTGGGGTAGGGGGCTAGGACACAGGAGAGATGTGGGAATAGCATTGTATCAGACAGATATAACCAAAAGCCCCCAAAAATGCCAAAGATATGAAGTATGGGGAACTTGCATATATGTGAAAGCTAACCCCATGACTGTGAATGATACTGTCAAGGGATTACATAAATAAAAATGAAAGCAAGGCAGGCTGGTGTGATGGAGCTAGTTAGAGAACAGAGATGATAAAGATGCAGAGTGATCAATTATGTCAAATACCAAAGAAGGATTAAGGAGACTGCAAAGAAATAGTGCAATGGTTACATTCACACAATATATCATTTATAACTTCAATGGAGATGGTCTTGGTGCTGCAGGAAAATAGAAACAGGATTGAAAAGAATGGAAAGAGAGAGCTTTAAAAAAAGTGGTCATAACAACAGGTCACGTTAGGCAGGGACAATTCAAAGATGGAATATCAGCAGAGCAAGGAAAATCCATTTCAAGGGAGGAAACTAATGGAAGACTTAAAAGTTGGGGCACCAGATCTCTACCAGAAAGGTAGAGAGCAATCAAAATGGCAGACAGCAATGGGTTGAGAAAATACACCTACTGAATACAAAGTCAGTAAGCAGGCAAAGCCACAAAGGAAGTGTCTTAGAGAAGACCAACAGCAGGAGGACTGGGAAGAAAAAGGAGAAGGCATGTAATGACAGAGGGTCTGGGTAAGGAGATGGCTAAATCTGTTAAGCAGACATTGATCTTTGAAAGTATAAAAACAAGTTCCTTATTGGTGCCAAAAATGGAAAATGGGAGTGAACAAGAATTGGAAGCATACAAATTTACAAATTTCTACTTCAAGAAACTTCGTTTTTTAAAAAAAACTGTAAACCAGGAATAGAGTAGCAACAAATATTTTGTACAGATTTTCTTTTTCACTCTGACATTTTCAAGTTCTGTTCCGCTGATATTCAAAACTGGACAGTGCAATCTACCATCTGACCAACACAAAAAGCTAATTGTGTGTGTGCAGGAATGCAGACACAGAAAATAACTGCTCATTTGGCGCATAACACATAAACATATGATTTACTATGTAAACTGTTTAGATACAATTAACAAACGTAACTCAAGCGTGAGCCACCTAGAGTGAAAATTTCAATTCTTTTGTTATATACAGTCAAGTCCCAATTAAGATCTTCATACAGAAATTTACAATTTTATCATCAATAGCAAATGATAGATTGCCTGTTCTGGTTTCACAACCTAAAAAAGAAAGCCCCATTTCTTTTTTATCTATCTATTTTCATTTTTATTTTAAAGAAATCATGCTGAACACTTCTGTATTGAGGTAAGTTAAAACTTACCAACTGGTTTTTCACAAACTAGACCACTTGCCATTTCAGTGCACGCATAAGCCTTCAATCCAACAATTTCAGCTCTTACTAGATATGCACAGAAACCAGAGTCATTGGGTTCACCAGGGAGCCACTGCAGAGTTGTGTTTGTAAAAGGTGACATATCTTCCCAGCCCCAGTAGGAGATGTTAATTTTGCGCAATCCAACCCAAGGTGATATTTTCTATCATAACAAAGGCAAAAGAGAAGGAACAATTAGCCTTTTCATTAAACAACTTACATTTTCTCCAGATTGAAATCAATACTGTTCTGATTTATTTTTTCTGCTCTGGTTATGCTTAGCTTCATTGATTTTCTTTTACTGGAACATATTTTGAATATATTCCAGTTAACAGTTCATTTTTTACAATCCACTACAAAACAGCCATTAATAATGGCTCCAATTTACCATAGATAGCAGGTTATTTGCATTGTACACCATTCCACGTGACAAAAAAGGCTGCCATACTTTCCTTTGATTTCTGTAACATTGACAAACAGGTTTGATGTTTTATAAAGCTGTTGTATATTGTATAGAGGAGGTTCCGAATATATTATCATCCGGGAGTTTGGATGCTAAAGCAGAGATGAATAATTTAGTGCATTACAAATAACAGTAGAAGGGAGACACAAAATTAGGCTGCTGTTTAGCAACAACATGTCCTCTTGCACAGGAAGACAGGAACAGAAATAAGTGCATTTAAGAAGGCAGCATACAGGTTTCTTTTAAAGGGAAGCAGGTAAGTCAAGAGAAACAATCTGTAACAGCAGCAGTGTACTTAAATTATCTCCAGAACAATCCTGGAAGTGGCTCTGGGTGGCTTTGTAGTTAAATTAAAGGCTCCAAGGTTTTAAGAAGAAAGCATTCTGCAAGACTGTCGATTGCACAAGTTTATGAAATATATTAAGGAGCAAGTGAAGTGAGGTAGCAGCTTTTTCAGGAATGTGGCATAAACGAAAGAAGACAGCATTGAGTGAATGCAGATGAGCGCATGATAATAGCAGGGACAAATTAAAAAGCAAACAGTGGAAACTGGGATATCTTCACTGAGGTTTCAGGATCTATAAAGTGGTTATTGAGGGCTAAAAGGATTGAATCTCTATTTATGGCATTTGTATTAAGCCATTTTTAAATTATTCTTGAATAGTGCAACAGGGAGTTTTTCTTGATTTTGTGTATGTCGAATTTGGATGTTCTTTTTAAAAACAAAATTGGTCATCTCTTGTGAATATGTTCAGTGATATGTATTTTTTAACTGGAGAGGCTCTCTAAAAATGTGCAACAGAGAAGAATCTGAGTGTTCTTGTGGGCAAAACACAAAAAAAATTAGCATGCAAGTGCGGCAAGTAATTAAGGCAGCAAATGCAATTTTGGGCTTCATTAGTAGGGGTTTGGAGTTTATATATATGGAAGTCTTGCTACAACTGTACAGGTGTTGGTAAGGTCAAACCAAGAGCACTGTGTACAGTTTAGTCCCCATATATGAAAAGGATATGCTGGCATTGGAGACAGTTGAAAAGAGATTCAGTAGGCTGATTCCTGGAACGATGGGGTTGACTTATCAAGAATGATGAAACAGGCTAGGCCTTTATTTATTCGAATTCAGAAGAATAAGGCAAGGTCTTATTGAAACATACAAGATTCCAAGAGAGCATGACAAAGTACATGTTGTGAAGGGATTTCCACTAATGGGGGAACCTCAAACTGGGGGATATAGCTACAGAATAAGGCCATACTTACTTAAAACGGAAGGAATTCCTGCAAAAGAATGTCTTCTCCCAGAAGGTAATGAATGTCTGAAACTGTCTACCCAAAGTGTTGTGGAAGCTAGCTCGCTGAACATATGTAGAAATAGATAGATCTTTGAAACATTAAGGAGTTGAGGACTATGAGGAACTGCCATGAAACAAGATTTGATACCTGGGGTAGATCAGTCATGATCTTATAGAATGATGGGGCAGGCTTGAGGGGCTGAACGGCCAACTCCTGCTCCTGCTTATTATGTTAACCACATGGTAAATAAATAGTAAAACTAAAACTAATTGTCTCATCAAGCCAGGTTTCATTCTGTCCATTACTACTACTGGCTGGCACCATAACAGTTGTATCAAACAAGCCTGTTTAGAAGCCAAAGTAAATGTGTTATCTCCAATCCTTGGCAAAGGTATAATGCATCATCCATTTTTAAGCAATGCATATGCCTTCTTACGCATACAAGAATAACTTTTCAATAGAAAATACCAAGATTCCATATCAGACTTTTATGTAAAAACAGAAAAATGTATTAAGTGTTCAGTTTGCTCTGTGTAAAATGCTATTCAAAACACTAAAATGGAACAAATAAAAATAACTTTTAAATCTATAGTAATACAATGTCAGGGTAGACAAACCTTAGAATCCAGCTGGGATGAGGCCCAGGCAATGTAATTAACATTTCAGCACTGTACTAGATGCAAAGATCAAATTTCTGGACAGTAGTTTCAAAATATAAAACTGCCTACTGTTGACATAAAATTCAGAAGTTCAGTCAAAGAAGATTATTTAACATTGAAAAACATTCACACTAGTTTAATAGCAAATGTGCTTGTGACGTCACTGTCAATTTTTCACTTACTTTACCTCATTATGCTATGCCATCTGGGTTATACTCCAGGCAAAACATACACATCCTTTACGTTATGGCTTAACGAAAGGCTTACAGACAATTCCAAACTGCAAAACAAAGTATAGCCAAGCACATACCATGTACACTCAAAACCTACAATATCCAACCTATGACAAAGCCTGCCAGAGTAAGAGAGCAGACTTCGGAAACAGAAAGGAAATAGAAGTCGGAGCTTAAGGCGAGGTATCTGAAGTCACCTCCATCAGTGGTGCAGCAATTAACAACAGGGATGTTCAAGGGGACGGAATTAGAACAGAGTAGTTTCAGATTTGTGTTGTTGGTCTGGAGCAGGTACAGAGATATGGAGAACCAGGGAGAGCCAAAGTCGCTGAGGGATTTTAAATAAAGATGAGAATTTAAAATCAAGGTCTAACAACTGCTTAATTTATATGGTTTGGCCACATTATTGCAGTTTTATTTTGTAACTGGCTCAAAGTAAGAGCCTTAATCGAGCAAGTGTTTCATTAAATACTGATCAAAAATGGAGTGCGCACGATAGCAGCAACAGAAAGAAAATAAAAAACCCATTGTAATTTAGAGAGAACTAACACCAACAGAACAAACATTAATGTAGAAGAAAGAATTGGATGGATCAAAGAAACAAAATCCAGGAAAGCAAAAGAAAAAGTCTTCTGTTCAGAGATAGCAGGAACTGCAGATGCTGGAGAATCTGAGATAACAAGGTGTAGAGTTGGATGAACACAGCAGGCCAAGCAGCATCAGAGGAGCAGGAAGGCTGACGTTTCAGGCCGAGACCCTTCTTCAGAAATCTGAAGAATTTTGAAATCTGAAGAAGTTTCTGAAGAAGGGTCTAGGCCCGAAAGGCCCACAGAGCTACAATAATAATGACCACAACAAATACCTTACTTTAACATGGGCCACGAGAGAAAACAATTATCTGGCAAAAATGTATTTCCATGGGATACAGAAGGAATAAAGACAGGGCTGTAGGTGGCAGTGTAAGGCAATTATAGAATCATAGAAGCCCTACAGTGTGGAAACAGGCCCTTCGGCCCAACAAGTCCACACCGAACCTCAGAGCATCCCACCCAGACCCATCATCTTATGACCAACTAATATACACCCTCTAACTCCCTGAACACTACAGGCAATTTAGCATGGTCAATCCATCTAACCTGCACATCTTTGGACTGTTGGAGGAAATCGGACCACCCGGAGGAAACCCACGCAGACACAGGGAGAATGTGCGAACTCCACACAGATAGTCGCCCGAGGCTGGAATCGAACCCGGGTCTCTGGCACTGTGAGACAGCAGTGTTAACCACTGTGCCACCGTGCCGCTCAAGAACAACATTGAGGGTTCAAAAGTTGAATCTATTTGGATTAGTTAAGGAACAAAATAAGTTACATTGCTGAGTGTTTAAAATGGACCATCAAATAGTGAGAACAGAGACAGAATAAATCTGCAAGTACATTTCAAAGAAATCTTAAAATAATGCAGCATATTAATAAGAGACTTCAACTGCTGTAATCCGCAGTGGAAAAAAATGCATAAAAGGCAAGGATGATCAAGAATTTGTGGACTATGTACAAACAAACTTCCTAATCAAAATGTTTCCAAGTCAACAAGCAGCAAAGCAGCCCTGGATTTCACCTGCAGAATTAAGTACTGGATGGAAACAATGGGAAATATAAGTGGAGTGCAAAGTTTTCAACGCGCTTGTACAGGTAAAAGGAGAGTGAGAGGAACGATAGGATTGATTAGAAATATAAAACGGAAATCCTCTTGTGGAGGTAAAGCGCGTAAATCATTTGAATTTGCTTTCACAAAAGCTGGAAAACCTAATCTCATAGCACAGTAAGCTTCTGTTCAAAGTTGCCCCATTTTAAATTACGCTGTTGCAACATTGTGGATATAATAATGCAAGGTAAGTGCATGTAGAATCACAAGTTCTGTTTTAGCATCATTTTATACCAAGTCCAAATTAGCATTGCATGGCCCAAATGACACCATTTGAAGCAGGTATTCCTATTCCCCCACCCTCTCTAGTTCACTGAGTCCCCACTGACCTTTCACCTCCCCCACTTCCAAAATCTCCCAATTACAACTAGTCTCATTCCCTCTCAGTTACAAACCCTCTCCTGAACCCTTGCTCAGAAGACAAGGAAGTCAAGAGATTTGTTTTTCTTTCTTTCATGGGACATGGGTGTCACCAGCAAGGTCAGAACTTATTTTTCATCCCTAATTCCTGTTGTTCTGAGTGACTTACATCATCAAATCAGATGAAAGTTGAGTATGTGGATCTGATAGATAGCAGATATCCATCCCTAAAGGATATCAGTGAACCAAAGGACTTATGACCATTGTTAACTATTTCATTTTTTTAAAATTCGAGTTATTCATTGAATTTAAATTTGACTCGCTACTGTGATTGGATTTCAACCCATCTCCATAGAGCATCTGTCTGGGTTGCTGGATTACTAGTACAGTTACATTACCACCATGCTACCACCTTCCCCAAATGGTAAAACTGGAAAAGAGGTATTAATAGGTTGG